TACAATCACGAAGTAAAGTTACGATGCCGCATAAAACCAGCACAATAGCTTCTATTCAATCGGTCCAGCCTACACCATTATCAGAGTGGTTACTGCAATGCTATGAAGGGAAAATTTTAAAGCGAAACACACCATCTAGCAATAGTTCAAAATGTTATTAGCACAAATACAAACAAAAATGTAAAATCGCGATAGCACAACGTATAATAGGACGGCCGAAATAGCTCAAGGAGTCCACTTGAGCAAAATGAATTTCCAGATGCAAAGAATAAAGACGGAAATTTCGCAAGAAAATGCTGGACATGTATAGATGGGTTTGAAAGGTGCGGTGAGAGGACTCTTTTTATGACACGGATATGCGAATTGCTTAATGCATAGCGATGCCGGATGACGAACAGAGAGAGAAGAAAAACGATGAAGCGGAACAATATCGAACGGTGAAAAACACAAATGAGAGATTGTAGTGGCGGCAAATTAATGAAGACTCCTCTGATTCTCGTTTTTAGATAGCTGCAGCCGTATGGATATGCATTAGATAGTGCATCGGACCTTTGATGCAAACAAACATCGGCTCTTCAAGCGTCCACTCTCTCATCTGCGCGGCAATCAATAATTGTTCGACTAGGCTACTAAGAGATTTCAATCGCACCTCTCACCTGAACTTCTACACGCAGTGATTACCTAACTCTCATCGCAATGCATTACACAAAACAGAGATGGGGTAAATGTAGCAATGTAGATGGTTGGGTGACTGAAAAACGGAACGAGTCGAGCCCCGGAGAAAAAAAAAAGACGAGAAAGATGAAACAAATTAACAAGCAATACACAAAGTTGGCAATGCGGATTCACCGTAATTGCTGGAACTGATATTCAAAACATGCACAAAGTAAAATATGCCAAAAACCTATACAAACCTATATAATGTTAGAAGGTGTAACAGACACTGAAGACCATACGAAAAGAAAATAATATGCATCTAAGTTACACGATAAACGTGTGAAAATCTCATGCTTTTGCGGACCGTATGATTATGGAACGATGGTTCTACAGCCTTTCCACCAAGTAATTCTGTTCGCAAGATCTTCGGCTGCTAGTGTGCTCTGATGAATTGCAAAAGAAATCGACATAG